ACCTGAAAATTTACAAGTATTGAAAGAAAAATACAGGACGAAATGCTTGATAATTTTGAATTTGTTTTTGAAGCAATTAATAGTAAATTAAAACATATTTTCAACTGTATCATCACAATCACTTGCATGTTGATTTGTAAAAATTGTAGGTATATTAATGTTATTTCGTTTTTAGGTATTCTCCTTATATTGTTGTAAAGGTTAGTTATAAAAATCGTTGTTTGTTATTTCCATAAGGATGAATTTTATTTTTTTTAATGATTTTTTTTTTAATTTAAGAATATATTTTATGCCAGCAAATTTTGACGTCAAATGAAATAAAGGAAAAGTCGTACATTTGTATTTAAAGTTGTTTTTTTTTCTATCTTTAATTATTAAACCTGTAAGTGGATGTCAAAATACAAAAAAAAAACCTGTACTTACATTCCGCGACGTACTAATAACCAACCTTGTATATTAAATAAATTTATCGTCATCATCAAATATTAAAAAAATTATATTACAAGCTGTTTAAAATATTATTACGAATTTTGTTTGTTTGAAAATATATTTTCTGCAGTATTTCAATACCAAAAAATGAAAATAGTAGGTAGCTAATTAACGAAATTATGATTAAATAACTTAATTGTAACACCGCTGCAGAATATCATATGAAACTAACATAGATAGATATACGTTGATTCTTTAAAAACATTTCTATCAGTACCTACATCATACATTTAAGTAAATACAGTAACGTAAAAAACAGATATTGATAAAAAAAAGTGTACAAAAGAAATCCGTAAGTACGCCTGGCAACATTACCAAAGTCTTGTTTATATGTTGCTAGGATACGGGTAGGTATGCGGGCCGCTGCATTTGATTCTTCCTAAAATTCTGCTGGTGGTGTACTCTACCGGCAATTCGGAAATTTAAAACTGCCGGCCTATTCCAGTAGCGGTCTGTGGCGATAGCTATTTTGTCTGTGATATAACAATGAATTTGATAAAACTGCTTAAAATTATTGCTTTAAATCTATGTTTAAAACATGAATAAGGTATATGAAAAGATTTTTAAGAGTTTGTGTCTCCCTTTTCTCTTTTCGAAAAAATGGTTTATATAAAGGACGCTCTTATTTTTTATGTTCTCTCTGCCCTGAAAATATCGGGAGACAATTTAAGATCACCCTGTATACCTAGCAGACTAATTCGGTACTACTTATTTTATCAAAATTTTTTTATGAAAATGTTTTGCGTCGATTCAATTCGACTTAAACGATAAGTTATAATTTATTGTGGTTACAAGTTCATAAGATACGATATCTGTTGTAATATGACTAGACAAATATTAGTGTAACACTTTTGGCAGAGATTTTAATGTAGTAATATTTGATTTAGTCTCAAGGGTATTTTCCTAAAATAAAGCTTCATTCAGAACCAGCCAATTACAATTACAATTAATACTTAGAATTAGTGGTAAAAGTTTAGCATGTGACTTTATACATGATCGTTCACAACCTCTAAATTAACGTTTCCACTTATACTTACACTTACACTTAGATTAGTACCTTGCAAAGTCCAAGCTTTTACCACTAATTGTAATTGAAAAATATTTGCGCGTGCGCGCTTGTTGTCATTATTGTAAACAAATAAGTAGATGACAAATCACCTAACCTTAAATATGGTGAATGTTTGTTTATATTAAATTTGTTTGTTTAAATTATTATTGTACAATAAACTATGTGCCCAAGACGAAAAGCGTCGTTCCGGCGAAAAATATTGGGTTCACTAATCACTTGGGTATTGAAAAATGAATGATCAAAACACGTTAATTTTCACCCTACGTCTAATATTAATTCTAAGTACTAATTGTAATTGTAATTACAATTAACACAGGCACAAAACAAAGCTCAAACCCAAGAGGCCCGCACATCATTTCCGAAGGAATTCGATAAGATGTACACGATCCTGTAGTCAAAATTCATGATTTGCCGATGAATTTCGGAGAAAAGTGATAGATTATGTTGAAAACACCCAAATATGGGTCAAAACTAATTTTCCCCTAAATTTTGTAGATATATAATTTTCGTAGTATTTTGGCCAGTTTTCTAAGAAATATTGCTTCTCAAAATACTACGAAATTGATATATTGCCTCAAAATTTAGGAAAAAATGAGTTTTCACCCATATTTGAGCCAGTTTTCATCTAAATAGTGAATTTTCTGAGAAATATAGGGGTCATGGGCAAATTTTGTTAACCCGAGATCGGTCGCTACCCTTCGCATAACACGATCGGTCGCGTGTTAGATTATATCTAACATTAAAAAATTAATTTAAATTTTCGAGTTTTTTTATATAAATTAACACAATCAGATAACACATATTTAAATTTATTTAACAAAAAGTGTTGAGTTACAAAGATTCTTTACTGGAATTATCACATTCAATACATATGTGGTTTTTTGTGTGTGTTTCTTACAAATTAGGGAAATATAAATTTCACGCTGATGTTGTGCAAATCTGTTCCTCCTTATTAGGCAGTATTTACACCTAACTTTTTGTAGAAGCTGCTGATTTTGCA